ACATAGGACAACACCATCCCTCCTGCAGTTAAAGGTATGTCCTGATGATTATAACTTAAGGCCGAATGACTTACGTGATGCAGAGGGAATCCCGGAATCCAGTCATGAAAATGGAATATACATAACGCAGATGTCACGTAAAACACGCAAAATAATGGATGGATGAATACATGGAAAGTAGAACTGTGCAATAAATCCAATCGCGACATTGTCTGTGAATATTTAAGCACAAAAATACTGCTATGTAAATATATAACATATTTGTTCTGCTGAGCTGCGTCTACTATGTCTACTAACGTTACATACTCAAGTACGCGTGACTGTTTGTTCATGGTGTTTTCAGCGTCTCACAAACAATTTGAGGACATGAATACATTTCCAGAGCTAATCTGAGAGAACGCCTAATGAGCATTTTCATAATTTTATTTGAGAAAAACCATTGTCAAATACACATTGAAACGGGTCTTCACTACAACCTGTCAAAATAAAACTTCGGTTTTACTAAGGAGAAATTCTGGGCATACAATAGAACGAACTTCTCAAAATAATGATAACAACAATAATACATTTTATTTAAACATTATTTAAAGGAATATACATTTTTTTTGTCCATGGTTTAATTTAGTAAATCTGTTTTTGCAGCGCTTCCCCCAAAAATAAAAGGACACAAAGTTTAAATTTACATTTGATTACCACCGTTTTTGATAATATATTTGGATTAAATCATAAAAAGAAACATTAATTTTCTGAATAAAATAAATTTCATAGGACTATATTATTCTTAAACATTTTAATAAATTATTAATGTTAAAAATAAGTTGTCAATCTAATTCATTATCAATTATTGAATTTAATTGATTAGACATGTTTTATTGAAATTTTAATAAACAAAACAAACAAATGGTTTCAAGTTTGTTATAGTAAAAGCATTTGTTCAACCAAAAAAAACCCCTGTTTTCATTAATTTAACTGTCATTTTAACTAATGATAATAATAACCATAATTTAATAATACCGTTTATTTATTTAAAGATGCTATATGTAACTTTTCTTCTAAAATGAATCCTTTTTTTATTGCCTGCGTGTGAAGGGGTTGTAATCACACATTACAATGATCCACTTGTCGGTTTTAGCTATTACCTCTGAAGGCCGGTATTCCTATTTCTATGTGAAGTCTCCGGGTCGGATTTACTGCGAAATCCATCGGATATGACGTGCATGCGCGCTCCCGAGCCTCTATCCTTTTTATATACAGTCTATGCGACGGCACTGCAGCTGACCACATGGAGTCTGATAACACCAACAAACGACCTGCCTCCAGCACAGCACAGACTCCAACACAAACTCCACATAAATATAAAAAACAAAACAAAACAAAAATGTATCTGCTGAAGCTCGTCAGGCCAAACGTGAATCGGATCGACTTAGGACGAAAACACGGATCAACATCGGCAGAGCGTTTGAATTATGGAGAGACCTCCGCTATTTTTATTGTGATAAATTACAAGTTTTCAGATATGCTGAAATAATGTTAAACTATAATGAAATAGCAAGGTCAACTACAACATACATGAGACATGAAATGAATACAAAAGACTGTTCCAGGATAACAAAAAGTAAGTGCTTTAGGATGTAACTTTTATTTTATGTACTAGATCTACTGTCTAACGTCACTCATCCCACTACTATCATATTGTTTATAATACACATTTCCAGACACGTTCAGTGCAGTAATGTTACTTCCTACGATCTTACTGTTACACTGAAATTGTTCAGTCTAGTTCACTAACCGTTTTCGTTATCATATTATACATTAATCTATGTTGACATTGCTGATTGTGAAAGATACAGGAATAGTTAGTGAAATGCCTTATGCTAGATAACACCACAAATGTAACGTTATCATGGTACGAGCATGGAGCATTAGTTCAACGTCAAGCTGATAAAAGTAGCCTATTATTGTAACGTTGCAGTGGGAGTTTACATGAGTTTCCAGCATGTTGTGTGACGCTTTCTCTGGTGTGTTGAAAGTATCAGTGTGGCCGGTACCATGAGTGATCGCTCTTGTGTTCGAGCACGTGCGCTCTTGTAAAAATTGGTTGCAATCTGAAACATCACCGATAGAGGCCGCTAAAAAATACATATAGCACCTTTAATAATTGATTAATACTGTAAACCGTGATATTTTCTGAGACATTATCATACTGTGAAAATCTCATACCATTAATACAACCCTACACGGGGGATTCCCCCACCCGCTGTTAAAAAAGTAACTCAGTAACTTTTACTCTGAGTAAATTTTAAATGAGCTACTTTTTACTTTTACTTGAGTAGATTTTTAGACCGGTACTTTTACTTGTACTTAAGTAAAATTTCATTGAAGTAGTAGTACTTTTACTTGAGTAGAATATTTTATTACTCTTTCCACCTCTGTCAGTTTATAGTCGTTCAAACCCCTGCTTTGTTTTAACCCCGGCAAAAGGAGAGTTTCACACGTGTAATTCAGCGGGGTTAGCAGCGCTTTTACCCGGGGTTAAGAAACTGTTAGCATTGATGTGCCAAACTGCAGTGTGAAATGGCAACTGAAAACCAATCGCCTCATATTCACGTGTGGACTGTAAACGAAACACCGAGCGTTGGTCGTTTCTGCGTTTGAGAGGAAAACTGTCGAGTTTAGACACAAAACGAGACAATTGGAGTGAAGAGGCCGTTTCATTCTTACCTTTATAGTCTGAAATGTCCATTCAGTAAACTTGATTGTAGTAAGTCTGTCAGGTAAAATGTAATGAGAATGCGCCGCGCTAGATCCTTTACGTAAACATGTAGCGTGCAGCGTTCGTCCAATCAGTGACCCTAACACCGCAAATATGCAAATGAGAACGTTAACCCGGGGTTTAGGAATGTAGCCTACAGTGTGAAACGTCAGCATGAAAACCTAGGATTGTAGTTTTTCTTGTGGCACAATTTCCCAAACCAGTCATTAGTTCTCAAAATAAAGACACATTTCACCTGTTTTTACCGTTTTATTCAGTCTTTGGTTTTCACACACGTTCCAATTTTCTTAAAGGGATAGTTCACTCAAAACAAAAAAAGTTGTTGTTACTCACCTTCAAGTTGTTCCAAACCTGTATGAATTTCTTTCTTGTGCTGAACACAAAAGAAGGTAACCACAGTTGACTTCCAATGTCCTTCCCCCCCCCCCCCCCAAAACTGTCTTTATTTATGTCTTCTGAGGCCAAAGTTTGATTCTGACAAGAGATAATGTGTTTTTGACTAAAATATTTGATTTTGATGTGACAGTTTGGGGTTTGTACAAGTTGGTGTGTAGTTCTGAGATTGTGTAGTTGTAAGAAAACTGTGAAGTGTTTCATGTATTGTGTATAAATAACCCAGGATTATGTTTACCTAGGAATAGGATTAGTTCAAGTCAAGTGTGAAACGCCTTAAAGCTCTCACTGCAGTTTATGTTACATGTTTATATTACAGGACACAATTATTCCCAAATTGATCCCTTTTGTAGATGGTAATATGTAGGTTTCAGTCTACATCTAACTGTTTTGATAGTATTTCATTTTTTAGATCTGGAAAAAAATGATTTAACAGTTTTAAAACGAGTATGTAAACATGCAAATTGGCCTGTAGGTTCATAGAGTTTTAGTGCCGTTTTTGTGTCTGAGTGAGAAAAGAGTTCATGCAATCTGACACATGTCATAATTGAGGAAATGTTGTGCTAAAGCAATGGAAAATGATCCACCGTTTAGCCCACATGACCTAAGTATTGAGAAATTGTAAAAAAAAAAATTAAAATCTTTCCAACACATTTGTTTGCATAATTGGTGTTGTGCACTTGGAAAAGTAGAAGAATTAGACATAGAGGTTCAAAGGTTTATTCCACGATGCAAATCATGATAGACACTGAACTATGAAGATAATAAAAAGACAATTTTAGAAATACGTAAGTGCTTGTAAGAAATTACAGTCAGCTTTTTTGGTTTATCAGTAATCGAAAAGAATAAAAAATAAATAGCTTAAAATTAAATGCAGTCCGTGCTAAATCATATACACAGTTCTATACACAAAGATGGATTATTTCTCCTACTGAAATCGATCTTATTTTCAATATTATAGTACAACTTATCTAAGTGCATTAAGCAAATCTAATCAGTACAACATGAGCAACAACAACAAATCTTCCGCCATAAAAGTTCAACCAAACAGATAGGAAAAAGTTCATTTATCCAAACCATCTAAACAAAAAAAATGCATTCATTTCCAGCACTTAATGACTTTATAAGGCAGCTGCGTTTGAAGTCACTGGGACTTTTGTTTGTCGCTCAGATTAATGCGTCCTATGTCCACAAATGTTCTTTTACTTTAACTGTAAGGGCAACTCTTATAAAAACCTTCCAAGTTGATGTGAGCATTTCTATTCAAGCTGAAGAAACTAGGGGTGTAACAATATATCGTGTCACAATATATCGCAATACAATATCGTGGATAGTTCACCCAAAATAAAAATTACTGTGTGAGAAAAAAATCAAGTTTTCAGAGTTTTAGTGTCAGTACTACATTAAACTATAATGTTGAATATAATGTATAATATTGCAATATTTGTGGTTCCTGATAATGCCAGATGTCTGATGTTACCAGTAAAAATGGCCTAAATATATCTAGTCAGTGACAGAGATGTGAAATAATTGTGTATTTTCAGCTTCATAATTATGAATAATGTTATTCTGGTGTCTCTATTGTCCTGTGCTTTGGGTTTCAGCACCAAGTCCAAACCTATTCATGTACACACACAGTGTAACACCAAATTAGCATTTTAATCAACAGCACATTTTGTGTTAACCTTTTACCATACGTCTTGAGGATCGCAGAATCGTGATGTGTATCGGATCGTGACATGAGGGAATCGTTACACCCCTAATGGAAACATATCTAACCTTGTCAGAACTGTGACATAAAAGACTAACACCAGAACCGTTTAATCGTTCTGGGAAAAGTCCTACTGGATGAACTCTTTCAAAATGTCGCAGGTGTTTTTATTGATGACCTCGCGTAGCTTCCGAACACGCCGGGCGCTGGAAAGCACGATGAAGCTGTCGGGTTGCAGGACAGCCATGCCGTTATCCACGTCTCCCATGAGGATGATCTGGCCGTCTGTGGTGGTCACGTTCGGACACGGACAGGCCCAGTCCATGTTCTGCAGGGTCACCTCGAGCGGATCCTTCCCGAAGAACTTCAAGCCCATTTTCTCGTCCTTCAGGATCTCCTCCACCGTGACCAAAGCGTGACCCGAATCCTGATCCTCGGTGAGCTCCGTCACACGTCCCAGAATCACGAAATCACTCCTACAGAAGCTGGTCACCATCTTGTGCTTTGGTTTGCACGGTTTGCATCGCTGGATCCTCGGGAACGGGCATGTGTCTTCGCACGCATCTTTGGTTTTGAAGTTGTTCTCGTTGCCTTTGCATCCGCCGAACACGAACGGCTGGCAGCGGCGCTGGGATCCGCTGTACGCCCATCGAGGCTCGTACGCCTTGCAAGGTCCCTGGTAAATCGGGAGGTTGCAAGGCGCGGAAAGCTCGTCCCGACACGACGTCATGCACGTGTCGTAAGCGTCGAAGTGATTGCGGTTTTTGCTGCAGTTGCCGTACGTAAAAGTATAGCAGTTGTTCCTCTGTGGGTCGTAAAACCAACTCAGCTTTTCCTCTCCACAATCGTCCCCGTCCGGCACTTTCAAACACTCCTCGGCTGGGAACCCGGTGGAGTTCAGCTCTATGATCGGCTCTTGCTGGATTACGGACAGCGGGAAGTGCGCGAGTATCGAGCCGCCGGGATTGGTGGCCGTGCATGTGTAGACGCCGGCGTCTTGCAGTTGTGCGTTGTAGATGACCAACTGCCCGATGTTAGTGACCACTACGTTCCCATGCACGTGATTGGGTTTCATAACCACTGGGTTTCCGTGCTGTTTCTCCCAGGTTATCTCAGGTTTCGGTCGCCCTGCCACTTCACAGAGAAAGCTAGCCGTGTCTCCGACGAACACGGACTGCTGAGACGGGATGCCGAGCATTATAGGAGTGTGTGTGTGTATGTGTCCCGGAGTCGTGCGCTGGATTGCAGTGGTGGGTAACGCAGTGGTGCCGGTCGGGACAGGACTGGTGTTGGGCCAGGTGAGATGAAAACGACACGTCACGACCGATAAGGAGATTCCCTTCGAACACGCTTCGGCATCCATGTAGCACTTGTTGTAGTAGGTCATGCCGTCCGAGGCGCAGGTGAAGAGCGGGTCTCTCTCGCACCGGTCCCGGCACTTGCACACCGGCTGGCCGTCCCAGATGTCGCACTGGGAGCCCTGCTGGGAACACTGGAACGTGTCGCAGGACGCCTCCGTTGGCAAACCCATCGGCCCTTTCTTGCCTGTAGTGTCGATGAAGCGCGCCGCCACACAGCTGCGGTTTCCACACACATTGGCACAGCACTTCTCAAATGTTTGACATTCCTGGACAAATGTAAACAAAGAGTGAATAATCCTGATATATACAAAAAATGTGTGTGTGTGTATACTGCATATTACTTGCATGCATGTCCATTTTAGACATATATTGCAGAATATTGTTGTTGTATTCACTTGATAATCTTGATTACACGAATGAAGGGAAATATACATAATATTGCAATGCAATATAAATTATTATATGAAAATGTGTATTTTATACACATTAAATTGAACATGCATGCAATTTATATAATGTATATATATATATATATATATATATATACAAACATATCATATAAACTCAAATAAAATATACTCATATAAAATGTGTATTTTATATACATGAAATGAAAATGCATGCAATTTATATAAGGTATGTATGTGTATTCATTTCATATATATATATATAAACACACATATATTGCACAATATTGTTGTTGCATTCACTTCATAATCCTGATTACATGAATAAAAATAAATATACATATTGCAGTGTTATAATATATATAAATGACTATATTAGATATGCATATTTTTATTTATATATATGAAATTAACATGCATGCATATATATAAATATATATATATATAGAATATATATGACATTAACAAACATGCAAGTAATATATCAATATTACTAGCATGTTTGTTCATTTCACACACATATATATGAATATATATATATGAATATATAGAATATATATATATGATGAACATTATATATATAGTTATATATCATATATGAATGAAATGGACATGCATGCAAGCATATATTACAGTCAAAATGACAACTAATTTCAATGGAATGAAAAGGCAAACCTGATCAGATTCACATTCGCGCATGCATGTGCTCATTGCATCGACCCACAGGTTTGGGTTCATGTCGTTGGGACAGATCCCTGCGTGGGAATACGCGACTCTCTGCAAACTCATGCCTTTCACGCACTGCCTGTCCACAGACAGCAGCAGAAACTGTCCCGACACGAACCAGATCCAGCGAGGAAACAGCATCCACCACATGTCGGAGGGCAGAACTGAGGAATTATTTCGAGGAGTTTACTAGCCTAATTTTATTGAAACAACTGAGCCAGAATTGTGCGCCTCGAGCTTCCAAGCAGCAGGAGGGGGAAAAAAGAAAATCTCCCAGAGATTCAGAAAACTGTGAGTGGAAAATGAGTTTAGATCTCTGTATTTATACTCTCTAATAGTTTGCACTTCTTGAGCAACAAAGGCTCGCCTGACCACAAATCTCGCCCTTACGCGCAAATGACTGACATGAATTACTCTGCAGTTCTAGAGAGAGGATTAGAAACATCTGGTCCAGAGTTGGGTTGGTACTGGGACACCTGCCTCTCCGTGAAAGAGCTGAAGTGCTGCTTTAACCCTTTATCTGCGCGCGCTCGTGGGAATTGCGCGCGCGCGATCCTTTCAGTGCGCTTTAAAAGGAAAGATGCCACACAGAAATACAAGAAAAGTAGAACTGGATATTTTAAAATGTCAGAGTCTAAGTAATCTAATCTTCTCATGTTTTTTTTTAACCAGTTTCTGAAATCAGCATCATACATGAAAGCTCTTGTAAAGAAATAGGCTATATACATGACCAAAAAAAAAAGTGAAATAAGAAAGTAAACCGTCGGTTTAGTATTGATTTGTGATCATTTAAGACAGAATGAGAAGGTTGTCATTTAATTAGATGAAACATCCATGCAATCATTTGCATGTTAAATCATAAAAATATCAATTTTACATCAAAGTTTGAGACATAACTCAATTTAAACCAAATGTGTTTTAACACAGCTTTCAGAATCGTTGTTTCTGTTTAATTTCTGTATTTTTGACAGTGCGTTTATCGTATAAAAGTAAACGAAATTATTTTATTGTAAGGTAGAAACTTTGCTGAAGTGGTTGTTTTGAACAAGCATTGACTTAGATATTATGCAAAATAAATTACTTTAACAATAAAGCATATGCATGGTGTCTTTTGCCCAAATGTGGAGTAAAAAGCTCCCTTGCCATAGAGTTTTTAAACGAAACATAGTGCTTTTACCATTTCTACCCCCACAAAATGTGTTGCTTCATGTTCAGTAAAATGATCTTTGCAATCATACACTATATGGGTGTTGTATTGAGAAGCATTTGTACTTGTGTTGATTATACACTCCATTATATGATATGCATTAAATTAGCCTAACGTCATTTAAAATGAGGTTTGATTTTAAGTAGAACACAGTGTACGTAAAGCTTTCAGAACTCAAAATCTGTTTATGCAAAAATACTAATGCTGATTAAAGTATATTAGCGCTCATTAGCTCTGAAGAAGAATGTGCACAGGACAAAAGACACGCTTCATTCACTCCTGCCTTTGACTGAATATAAACAACACCGTAAGAAATATAAGATAGCTATATATATGTATAATGTATAGGCTATTCCAGAAGTGCTTCCAAAAAGTTTGTTTACTAACCACTTTTATTCTAAAATATTGTTAACATAACCTGAGCTGAATATCTCCCAGCTGGGCTGTTCAGAAGCTTCACCTTATTTTACCCCAGATTTACTCTAACAGTGCCTTGTTGTTAACTTTAACTGTTCGACAGTTATAGGAAATTCCTTGTCCTCACATAAAACCCATTCAGACTCACAAGCGTGTCAAATGAGGACAAGCTCTTTATGAATTACACTTTTTTTTGTTCTTTGTGCAATATAGTGTTTTATCTTCGAAATATCCAAGCATCTCAGACGGTACACTATTAAAAATAAATAAAATAATAATTTAAATCAAGTTTTTTCTCTCTCGCAGTGATGCCATGTAGAACCATTTTGGGTTCCCAAAGCTCTTAAAAGAACCTTTTTTTGTGTGTGTGAAGAACATATATGTGCAAAAGTTCCAATCTCAGATAAAGCATCTTTATTTTTGAAGAGTGATCCACTTCAATCTGGCCCTCCGCAGTTTCCCGCATGATACACGCCTCAGGTGTTTGGACCCAAATATATCATTACCCGAACGTCGAACAACACTGTATTTCTTCCTCCAACGCTTCAGAGGAAGCGTGTTTCAGTGAAGTGTCCCAGTTGAGGAGAGGATCTGGCCTCCAGCAGGACTCGAGTCTTTCATGAAGCCGCTGGCACACTGATAACACAGCAACTCTTCCCCGTGTGTGATTGATTGCTGAAGGAGTAGCGAACACACACCGCATTCTTTCACCTTCCCCACTTCTGCAGACGCATTACCTTACCTGCCCTCCGCGGAGGCAACGAGTCATGCATTTGTTTGAGGAAATGGTGTAATGGGAACAAAAAATTAATAAACTCCTGTCAATCTAAACAGCTTGAGTGAGGACTGACACAACCTCAGGCTGTGCTATTAAAATAATAGGCTGTTTACTTGTGACTCTGGGATGTAATTAAGCATACTAATTATTAAAGCACACCTTGTTGAGAAACCGTAGACAGTTTAAACTGATAGCAGACAAATACATTTTTGTGTTGTATATGGTATTCATATTATTAGAAACTGTATATTTTATTGAAAATTAGAATGCCCTTGAACCCTTCGTTGTCTTACGTTTGAAAGATTTCTATAGTTTGACCATTTCAATGAATGTGCCGATAATTTCTGTCACTGTCTGGTCGTTCCCTATCCCCTATATAGTGCACTGACTGATCGTTCCCTATATAGTGCACTGACTGGTCGTTCCATATCCCCTATATAGTGCACTGACTGGTCGTTCCCTATCCCCTATATAGTGCACTGTCTAATCGTTCCTTATACCCTATATAGTCCACTGACTGATCGTTCCCTATCCCCTATATAGTGCACTGTCTAATCGTTCCTTATACCCTATATAGTCCACTGACTGATCTCTCCCTATCCCCTATATAGTGCACTGTCTGATCGTTCCCTATATAGTGCACTGTCTAATCGTTCCATATCCCCTATATAGTGCACTGACTGGTCGTTCCCTATCCCCTATATAGTGCACTGTCTGTTCGTTCCCTATCCCCTATATAGTGCACTGTCTAATCGTTCCCTATCCCCTATATAGTGCACTGTCTAATCGTTCCATATCCCCTATATAGTGCACTGACTGATCGTTCCCTATCCCCTATATAGTGCACTGTCTAATCGTTCCATATCCCCTATATAGTGCACTGACTGGTCGTTCCCTATCCCCTATATAGTGTACTGTCTGTTCGTTCCCTATCCCCTATAGAGTGCACAGTCTAATCGTTCCCTATCCCCTATATAGTGTACTGTCTGTTCGTTCCCTATCCCCTATATAGTGCACTGTCTAATCGTTCCCTATCCCCTATATAGTGCACTGTCTAATCGTTCCATATCCCCTGTATAGTGCACTGACTGGTCGTTCCCTATCCCCTATATAGTGCACTGTCTGTTCGTTCCCTATCCCCTATTTAGTGCACAGTCTAATCGTTCCCTATCCCCTATATAGTGTACTGTCTGTTCGTTCCCTATCCCCTATTTAGTGCACAGTCTAATCGTTCCCTATCCCCTATATAGTGCACTGACTGATAGTTCCCTATCCCCTATATAGTGTACTGACTGATCATTCCCTATCCCCTATATAGTGCATTGACTGATAGTTCCCTATCCCCTATATAGTGCACTGACTGATCATTCCCTGTCCCCTATATAGTGCACAGTCTAATCGTTCCCTCTCCCCTATATAGTGCACTGTCTAATCGTTCCCTCTCCCCTATATAGTGTACTGACTGATAGTTCCCTATCCCCTATATAGTGCACTGACTGATCATTCCCTATCACCTATATAGTGCAGTCTAATCATTCCCTATCCCCTATATAGTGCACTGTCTGATCGTTCCCTATCCCCTATATAGTGTAACATCTACTCGTTCCTTATCCCCTATATAGTGTACTGTCTGTTCGTTCCCTATCCCCTATATAGTGCACAGTCTAATCGTTCCCTCTCCCCTATATAGTGTACTGACTGATAGTTCCCTATCCCCTATATAGTGCACTGACTGATAGTTCCCTATCCCCTATATAGTGCACAGTCTAATAGTTCCCTATCCCCTATATAGTGCACTGTCTGTTCGTTCCCTATCCCCTATATAGTGCACTGTCTAATCGTTCCCTCTCCCCTATATAGTGTACTGACTGATAGTTCCCTATCCCCTATATAGTGCACTGACTGATCATTCCCTATCACCTATATAGTGCACTGTCTGATCGTTCCCTATCCCCTATATAGTGTAACATCTACTCGTTCCTTATCCCCTATATAGTGTACTGTCTGTTCGTTCCCTATCCCCTATATAGTGCACAGTCTAATCGTTCCCTCTACCCTATATAGTGTACTGACTGATAGTTCCCTATCCCCTATATAGTGCACTGACTGATAGTTCCCTATCCCCTATATAGTGCACAGTCTAATAGTTCCCTATCCCCTATATAGTGCACTGTCTGATCGTTCCCTATCCCCTATATAGTGCACTGTCTGATCGTTCCCTATCACCTATATAGTGTACTGACTGATTGTTCCCTATCCCCTATATAGTGTGTTCACCATGTAGAAAATAGTAAATGCAGCATCTGTTTATAATGTTGTCAATCTGATGACAAGCTGAAGTGCAGAGTGATGTCATCAAAATCCATATTGGCGGAAGTGAGTGTACATTTTGGATGCTTATATCTTCTAAATGCACATTTTGTCATTGTTTTGGAGCACACTAGCTTATAGATAACAGTAAGGCGAACAAATTCATATTAAAAGCCAAAAAAATAAATACATTTGGATTTCATGGGGACTTTAAACAGAGTCAACAGCTTTCACACACGTCTTTCAAAATAAAAGTCAGAAAAACATTGGTTTCTTTGGCTACACACTTCTGGACCCACTCAAAATGGTTTTGTGGCCCACTTTTGTGTCGCCGGTTGAGAAACACTGTATTACACACACACACACACTCCGCACGTCTTCAGATGCTGGAACACCGGCTGCACGTAACACCTTGTTGTTTTCTGTATGAAAACAGCATGTCATGCTCATATTCTCAGGGCCCAACCCTTACACGAGTCACGACTCAGGTTTATTTCCCAGAAAACATCTTCCACGCCAGGAATGAGGAATCATTCAGACTCGAACACAAACACCGAGGGCCGTAGACGCTGCGCTGACAGTGTGAAGATAAATTGGCCTTTAAACACAAACCAGCGCTTGTTTTAACACCGGAGACGAAACTTGCTTTGTCATCGGTCCATCGAAACATCGTTCGCCCGCAGCATGAAGTGATGGGACAGGTAAAGAGGAAGAGCCAAACCCAAACCCGTCCATACTTCCCCTGAGGGAGCGAAACT